CAAGGGGATCCCATCAGGGCCGGTGCACGTTGAGAAGCATAAGCGAGAGACTTGGCCAGCGATTTTCGCTATAGTGAATTCCACTGTGCATAGACCTTCGTTGTTGTGCGGCTTGATAAGTGTTGGTGTGTCTGATGATTTATTGACCGTTGATTCGGCAAAATAAGCACTGGAACCTTCACTTATATCAACTGGTGCGTCGTAGTATGTTCCATCAGGCGTGGTGATAAAATTGAAATTGTTGCTGCAAAGCGAACCCCGGGCACGGAATAGTTTGGCTAGCTCAGCTCTTTTGCTAGGACGGCTCAGAGCTTTATACTTCTAAAATGAGAGTTCTGTCATTTTGATGCCTTTGTTCTTCGACGAGCTTGGACTGCTGCAATAATAGCACAAAGTCAGCAGTTAACCTGAATTTCTGTCGAATCTTATGAAGCTTTCGTGCTGCGTTCAAGGCCTTGCGATCGGATTTATGTTCAGTTTGGTAGGCACATTTTACTGGTACCGCTGAATCGATGCAGAAGCCAATTTTACTATAAAAACAGGTCCATCGCTTGTTGAGAACATGAAGCGAAAGAAGTTATCCCAATTCCTCGAACGAACCAGGTTCTTGAAAGAGTTCCATTCGACGGAACTGAACAGACGATAATGCATTGCGTTCTGTACATCGACCATGCGTAGTCTTAGGCGGGTTGATCACGCGATGATCGCTCCCCGGAAATTCATCAAGAACGTTAACATTGATTGCAGGTATGCTCAAAGAAAAAAGAGATCCAGAGTACTTTCACCTCTGGTAGGTTGGGAGACGTGTTTCTGCCAGCCATTCATTTGGATACAGGAGATAAGATTTTGGCATTTCAAAGGAGCAGATTAAAATCACACATAATAATCGAATGTATCAATGATAGGCTAGCGGTGTATTTAAATACAAGGGTCAAAAGTTTGAGGTCTTCTTGGTTGCAGTTTGGCGCACTGTATCTACATGCCATAAGCAGTTGCTGCTGATTAACAGATATCCTAAGCCATAGTGATTCCTGGGCATCGTGCAGCACTGGGTTCTCTAACCTTGCTGATGCGAGCGAATTTTTCAGCTAAATTGCACAGCCACCTACTCGACGACGGCCGATTTGTTATAAACTTACCAAATCCGAAAATAGTTAACTGACTGTCAGACATGTTATTATGACACCATGATTCAGTAATAAATATTATAACAGGATTATTCACCAAAACAGATGAGCGTATTGTGTGGGTCTTAGAGTGAAGAGAACGAATGTTTATCATACATAATGAGATAGATGTGAAATATGAGCAAGATTGTTTAAGTTGTGCTATAAACGCTGTGGTTTCAAGCCGTGTGCCTGTACCCAGGCTAGAAATTGTTGAAAAAGTGTGTGTATTGCCCACGGTGGAAAATGATTTGGAGATGGCAACAGCGGAGGGGTTTGCGACTGAGTATGGCCATCTAGAAAATAGTTCGAGGAAAATAATCCATGATTGTTGTAATAGCCTGTGGGAGTTGGAGAGTTAGGTTATGTCCTCTGCATCATATCAGTAATAGGCTGATGATTAGGTAACGCATTGATATAAGCTACTGGGTTGCTGTCATTGTCATCTGTCAGTAAAATCCGCTTAATTGCGCTCGATTTACAATGCTTCACTATACGCGATGGAGGCACACTGGTGTCAATCCATACACCAACATTAGCATAATCCGTGTGGTTCGTTGATGAAATCGGAAAGGCATGGTACTCAATTACACCGTGTGTAAGGTGCAAAGATGGTGGCACGTCTTCCATAAATTTATGAACGATGGATATATGTCTATCTAAACCAAATGACGATACAGTCGCCCAATGACGCTTGCGATAAATCTAGGTCACCCGTCATTTTACTATCGATCAATTTGACCGGATCCATCGATATTCTCGATGAGCTTGGAAACTGGCCAGACCAGATTTTAGGCGGGACATGACAGTTCGAGGCTTGAGGTATGTATGACTAGTCTATACTAGTCCGAGAGTGTTCTCGCTCTGGTGGAGATACCAGAAAATCAGAAGAACGGACACAACGGATTATATTCGAGAAAGGCTACCATCGAACGAAAAGCGAATGAAGCGACGAGAGCGTACGTCAGTGTCGGAACTCACCGTGCAGATTAGTGGTGAGCCGGATGTAGGTGAAAATGGCCGTAGAGTCGGTACTAAAACAAAAACCAATATCGTATGATTGAGTAACAAAAGTGTACATAAGATAAGAAATATCTTTTGGGTTGCTACAGAGCTCCCCTCCAAGAAGGCTAAACGAAGAATCCTTCGAAATCAAAGTGGTCGTGGATCGAAGTTCGCAAAAGGTTTTCGTATGCAAAGAAGTGTCTGTCCGTGTTCGGAAATAAATGTAGCCGACAATTAGGATCCGCTGTGCCGTCCGGTCTTTATTATTTATTGATTGCAGGGCAGGGTCCATTTCCGGGAGCAGTTGGAGCGGGCTTGTCAGACTACAAAATATTGACTAGTCCAGAAAAAGGCCGACAGGACCTCAACCTCCGCTGCTGCCAAATGGTGCGCTTGGGAGTGTTCTCTCCCCCTGCCGCACGTCGCCCCGCGCCAAAACGACCATCGTCCCGCGGAGAAACGACCATCGTCCCACGAAGAATCGACCATCGTCCCACGAAGACACGACCGCGGTCCCAGGAAGAAGCGACACCCATCCCGCGGAGAAACGACCAGCGTTGACGTCAAGATCCTCGAAAACAGTGCTCATGTGGGCCAGTTACTCGAAGGGGAGGGTTTGAACGTGTAGAGACGACAGAATACAAAAGAACACATGCAGCAAATGCTAGAAGGAACAAACGAATAATCTGCGTGTCTAACTTTTTGTTTTTTGAATACATTTTAGAAAAAGGATTTTCGGAGGTTTTGGATTTTTTTGTTTTCAAAACGTTATTCGACCAAAAATGGGGCAAATATATACAATAACTATAAAGCTAAACGTATTTACACTGTACATAGTCGGAAAAATGAACGGGCTTACTCACCTCCCGACCACGGCGATTGGTCGTGGGAGGCAACGGACTAGATTCGGGAGATGTCGGAACGGCTGAAGCTTATAGACCGAGATCGTGGTCTGGTTGAACTGCACTAGGATGCTTGAAGCTGGTGCGGTGAGTAATGATGTCGCACGAAACACTACTAAACGAAGTAGGCAAGGTGGTTTCTTCCATAAAGGCAGGTTTTAGACGGTCGATGGTGACGACTTCGCGCCGACCACCGCGGTCAATATTGTACGTCTTATTCGAACGGTGTAACACTTTGAAAGGTCCTATGTACGGCGAATGAAGAGGATGTCGAACACCGTCTGCGCGAAGAAGGACGTGTGAACACGTAGACAGCTTCTCGGGCATGTACACTGGTGTCTTCTGCGCTCGAGCAGCGGGTGGACGTAGCTCACTCATCTAGTGAGCGAATCGATCAGTGTAACTTCCGTAGTCAAAAGTGGGAGTAGAGGGGGCTGGTGCTACCAGCTGTCCGGTCAACCGCAGAGTGCAACCGTAGACTAGCTGTGCTGGTGTTGCGTCGAAATCGGTTTTAAACATGTTTCTTAAGCCTAGGAGAACGAGGGGAAGTGTTTCAGACCATGAAGGATCTGCGTGCGCACGTAGCGCTGCCTTCAACTGGCGGTGAAAAAGCTCCACCGTGCCGTTAGCAACCGAATGATACGCCGCCGTCTGAACGTGGCGACAGCCTAAATCCTTAAGCAACGTGGCAAATGTCGATGAGAAATGTGACCCTCGATCGGTGGTCACGATGGCGGGACAGCCGTATTGAGCTACCCAGCGCTCCAGAAAATCTTGCTACTGTTTCCGAAGAGCAGTTAGGTATGGGAATAGCTTCCGGCCACATAGTGAATCGATTGACACAGGTCAGTAGATACACATAGTCTTTGGAAGGCGGCAGAGGACCTACGAGGTCCCCGTGCACGTGATGGAAACGTGTGCCTGGCGTCGGAAAGGTGCCTAATAGGCTTCTTGTGTACTTGTGCACCTTCGCGCGTTGACACGAAAGGCAAGCAGCTGCCCAAGTACGGACGCCCGATTAACATTGCGCCAAAGGAATCGTACGGTTACGAGGTTAACCGATGCACGAACGCCTGGATGAGACAAGCCGTGCAACGTGTCGAACACGGTCTGCCGAAACTCGCGTGGGACGACTGAGTGCGGCGTGCCCAGAGATAAATCGCAAAGTATAGTGCCGTCTGATGATGTCAGCGGAACAGGTCGGATGTCCAATGAGGGAGACCTGCGTAGTCGCTCAACCTCAGGATCGTTGAGTTGTGCTGTGGCCATTGCTGCCAAGTCGATGGCAGTGCCGGCGTCAGCGAAGATAGCTTGGATGCGGGAAAGTGCATCGGTGACGGCGTTGTGCACACCTGTGACATGCCGTATACCGGTCGTAAACTGAACGATATAGTCAAGGTGGCGCGACTCTTTAGGAGATTATCGGTCGGTTATCGAACGGAGCACGTAAGTCAGGGGTTTGTGGTCGGTGAAGACGACAAAGGAGCGGCTTTCTAGGACGTGTCGAAAGTGACGTATCACTAGATTTACGGCTAGTAGTTCTCTACCGAACGTGCTGTAGCGAGATTCGGTAGGTTGTAGGCGTTTGGAGAAAAACGATAAGGGCTGCCACGTGTCAGCTACTAGTTGCTGCAAAACAGCGCCGACTGCCACGTCCGAGGCGTCAGTACTGAGGGACAGTGGGGCGGCCGGATCGTGATGCGCTATAGAAGCTATGTTGGCGATAGCCTCTTTCAGCGACTTAAAAGCAGCGCGAGCTACCGTAGGAAAATCTAATTTCTTGTGTTTCCCTCGGAGTAGGTCCGTGAGTGGTTGCATCAGCGAGGCACAGTTGGGTATAAACCGTCGGTAAAAGTTGACAAGCCCATCAAAACGCCTGAGCTGTTTGAAAGAATGAGGCTCGGAGAAGTCGATGATGGCTTGAATTTTATCCTGCAGTGGCACGACGCCTGCAGAGGATACGATGGCCGAGGAAGTTTACTGAGTCGACACCAAACGAACACTTTTCTGCGTTGATCCTCACCCCGTGTTGAGATAAACGATCAATAAGTGTTCGTGCGTGGCGCATGTGCTGTTCTCGTGAAGAGTTTGCGATTAAAATGTCATCGAAATACGCGTAAGCGAAGTCTAAGCCGCGAGAAACTTGTTCGATGAATCGCTGAAAGGTTTGCGCGGCATTCTTTAGGTCAAATGTCATGCGCAGAAACTTGAACAAACCAAATGGAGTCGTCACGGCAGTTTTAGCGATGTCCGCTTCGGCTACCGGAATTTGGTTGTATGCGCGTACCAAGTCGATTTTGCTGAAGGTAATTTTACCTGCCAGACTGACGGTGAGATCCACAATTTTGGGATCGGATAGTGATCGGGCGTGGTAACGGTATTCAAGGTTCGATAGTCGCCGCAAGGACGCCAGTCCCCCATGACCTTCGGGACCATGTGCAGAGGCGACGCCCATGGGCTGTTGGACGATCTGACGATACCGAGCTGAATCATGTGGTCGAATTCGGCTCGGGTTCTACGTAGTTTGTCTGGAGCAAGCCGTCTTGGCCGTGCGCTAACTGGTTGACCGCGCGTGACTATGTGGTGAGCGACCTCTGTCGTGACTGGTGGAAGGTCTGCAGCCGGTCGAACCAGTCGCGGGTGTTCGGAGAGGAAGCTCAAGTAGTCTGACGGGGCTTCTGCGATCCGAAATACAGGGCTGATTATCATGGCATCTGAAAGGACGCCATCAACGCCTAGTTTTATATGATCATCTAAAATTCTGTGGCGACCCGCGTCGACAAGCAATCCGAAATGGCGAAGAAAATCGATGCCAATACTTGCGAAAGATACTGACGCAACCGTAAAAACTCAGTGAAAGTCTCTGCGGAGATATAAATCCAGATTCCTCATGCGCTGACCGTATGAAGCTATTGGTGAGCCGTTGGCTGCCCGTAGATTGTACGTGGGCTTCGTATGCTTGTCTTGCGGGCTGGCAGAGATAACGCTCTCTTCGGATCCTGTGTCGATAAGGAAAGTGAGGCGGGAGAGCCTATCCTTTACGTAAAACAGACGGCCTATTTTGTCGCTGCCGGACGAGTGGGTCGCATTCACCTGCCGGTGAACTAGTTTACCTGTGCCACTACACCACGCTTGGCGCAAGGTGAAGGGCAACGTCAAGCATTGTCACCATACTCGCAATGATACCAACACAAATCATCCATTAAAGTGGCATTTTGGGCTCGGCTGCGAGGGGGTAATGGACTGCGTCTGCGCGGTGACCTGGATCTGTACGGTAGAGGTCGTGACTGATAGGCGCCGTGACGAATAGCGGCTAGTTTGTGGTCGGCGTGCGGTCTTAGTAAGCCTTGTGTTTCTAACTGCATTGATGCTAATTCACGGCGAAGCGCGGTTATCTCTTCGTCTCTGAGGTCTGCTTGCGCAGACGCATTCCTGCTCAAGTCTTTATCAGCTAATATGGCGAAAATGTTTCTGGATGTCTTCGTGTGCTGAGGAATTCTCTCAAAGGTTGCGTCTGCGATTATGGCCAGCTCTTTGAGTGGTCTGTCTGGGTATGCTACGAACGTTAAAGGAAGAGGATCAGGTAGGCGTGAGAACCACAGTTCTTTTAAAGTTTCTTCAATCATGTACGAAGGGCCAGCTATCTGTTGAATATCGCGGAGCAAAACTGAAGGCTTGCGATCGCCTAGCTTAGTGCTATGAATGAGTTGTTCCAATCGAACATGAGTGCTGGGTTGCGACTCCCTTAAGCTCCCTTGCTTCATTGCTTCGTATTTACTGTCTTTCGGTGGATGAAATAGCACATCTTCAACCAGTGTCACCACCTGTTGCGGAAGGCGTGGGACGAGTTGGTTGTATTTAGCTTGGTCGGCAGAGATCCCTCTGTTCTCTAGCTCTATCTCAAAAATGGCAAACCAGACGCTGGGTTTGTGTGCCATAAAATCCGGAATAGCCAAGGTGAAAAAATTCATGCTGCAGCCCCATCCGGGTTTTACATCAGCATCAGACATGGTATATGAATAATACGAGTGGTTTAAAAACAAATGGACGGTACATAATTCGCCAGGGATTAGGGAAAAAACGACTCGGAACGAACTCACCGAAAACGAAATGACCAAAAAATTTGAAAATTCGCGCGTGCGAATCGGGGTCACCAAATTGTAGGACCAGTCTATACTAGTCCTAGAGTGTTCTCGCTCTGGTGGAGATACCAGAAAACCAGAAGAACGGACACAACGGATTATATACGAGAAAGGCTACCATCGAACGAAAAGCGAATGAAGCGACGAGAGCGTACGTCAGTGTCGGAACTCACCGTGGAGATCAGTGGTGAGCCGGATGTAGGTAAAAATTGCCGTAAAGTCAGCAGTAAAACAAAAACCAATATCGTATGATTGAGTAACAAAAGTGTACATAAGATAAGATATATCATTTGGGTTGCTACAGGTAGCGGTTATGCATGCAACTGGAATTTAGCAGGTAATGCAATTTTTATTGGCTGATCAAATTTGTCGTCACTTTGTATGCAGGAAACAGCATTAGGAAACCCTACATGATTGCCATTACTGATTATCTAAGAGGAAACGCTATCCATATCACTAGTTTTGTGGATTGTAGTGGTTTTGGGCTTGATCTGCTTATCATGCTTAACTGTGAAATTGCGGCATGGTGAAGGTTCTCCAGTAACCAATTTTGCATCTGACGTTGACGTTAGCTCCGAAGTGCGAGAATTAGGTGTTCTACCGGGCACAACATCCAATGCAATAAAGTGTCCCGAATATTCATGTGATTACTTGTTAATTTCAAAAATCACTATTATTCACCGCTTCAGCCCGATTTGCAGCAAACGGGGTCTTCTTCTCACATTTGTAGTGACCACTAAGAGGAGCAATATCAACTAGATGCGGGTGCCAGATGGTTGTTTGGTATCCTGGCTTACCTCAGACTTTTGCCAATTTATCTCGCGTTGTAGCGGGTTTTTATCCTCCATAATTTTCAGACATTTCAAAGTCGTATAAAACACAATTAGATTGCGCTTTTGAATGAATTGGCTAGCAATAAGTTCATTTTGAAACTGGGACAGGCGTAAAGCATACTATTTTGTGTAGTCGGATGCAGCTGGACCAACAAGATTGCATACCGCATGCAGTGAGAAACACTTTCTGAACAGCTTTTTAACGGTAAATGGTCTGACACATTAAAAACCACCGTATTGCGTGAACACCGTACTCGATTGTATATTCCTGTCGAATTGGAGTCTATCAGTACACTGCACTTCACGAGGTTCATATTATCAATATTTGAGGGCGATTCAAAACGGACAGCTGGACTATGCAATGGTTGCAATATCGGTGTGAGCATGTCGACTTTTAATGCAAGTTCAGTGTAAGAAATTTCAGCTACGGATGAATATTTTCAGATGTTTTTCTCAGGTCAGCATGTAGTCCAAGGGAATTTCCCACAGCGCCTTCACTGCTTTGGGTATTTTCTTTACTACTGCTTCTAGCCGTTGTGCGGGGTACCTTAGTTTGTTGTCTCAGCTTTTGAAGCATCCTGGCCTACAATACTTTGTTTCCTCTTCGAACGTATCCTTACTGTAAACAAGCTAATGAAACCGAAATAACATACACGAAGTAAAATCAGAGGAGCTAAGACAATGGGTGATAGCTTCTGATCTTTAACTGAAATCCACGTCTAATATAATCCTAGTAAAATGGCAACTCCCGGAAACTGGGCAATTTAGCTAGGAACAAAAAGAACGCACCGCGGTGAACTGTTTGAATCTCCGTCTCCGTTGCACATGCCGTTACTTTGGAAACGCGAGCTCTCCACCAATTCCAAAAGTGAGCGGCGCTATATCACATCTAGTAACTTATTCACGATGGTCGTTGCCGTCCCCCGTAGCTCAGTGGTCTCAACCACGGACTGGCAACAGTCGAGTTGCGGTTTCGAGCCTTACCAAGGGTCCGATGGAATGCGCACTGCTGATGATTCCCGAAAGGATGAAACGCGCGTACAGTGCTTTTCCGGACTTGTGGCGGCTGTCTGAGTGAGCCTAGATGTGACGAAATTCTACCTATACCATTCAACTCCCCCTACTACTCTTCTGCAATTCCAAAAGTGTTGTTGTTGTTGTCTCATTGTTCTAATGACACAGCGGTTAGCAGTCGGGTCAGCACAGGCGTTCCTGATTTTCCTCATGACAGGTCACAAGCGGTTGCAGATGAATCCAGACAGGCCTCGGAACGAAGCACAGGCTATCGATCTGGACATAGCGCCTCTTGGTGTGGCACTAGTGGTGTGGAGCCGGTGGGTGAATTTTCGTTGGCAGCCTCAGTGACTGCGACACAACCGAAGGATCATCGGTAGATCCGTACTATTGCCGCCTGTAACTGTCTAACGCAGCTACCGATAAAAGCAGTGGTGTAGTCGTTAGAGAGCCCTTATTTTGGGTTTCCAAAAAAGATCACAATTTGTGGTGTAGTATGAAAACCGAAATAAATTCCTCGTGTATACCTCCACAGTGAAAACGGAAAATGTAAAAATCGATGTGAGATAGTCGTCTGTAATGTGTGGATTCGATATAGGCTGCGCGTTGGAAAGAGCACGTCGAGACTGATCAAATGAGTGTATGTACGTTGGATTACGATGAAAATTGGAGGCACGGTAGCAGATAATCCAATAACGCTAGAATGTTTGGACTAACACGTCACGTCACAATGTGTAGTGCCAAATCAGTCTGACTTGCGGCTTGGACAAGCCCTTCGCAGTCCGTCTTCCAATAGTTGAATGTCGGCTTCCGTCGGTTGCAATACGGTAACGGCAGTTCTATGCTTGCCACAATGGAGCAGTGGTCACAGTTCGCCAGAGGTTCGAGGACTGTGATATCGTTCAGCTTCTGCTAGTAGCTCGTACAAATTAGGTCCAGAGAAGATGCAGAGTGTGGAGTCACGCGCGTCGGTTGGATGACATGTTGCCTTGCCCCGATTTCAATAGTCATTTTAGGGAATTGAGCCTCAACGTCGTCATGACCGGGAAGAAGCCGAATGTCTGGCCAGAATATCTTAGGTAAATTTAGATCCCCATCAGTAAGGAATGCGGGCGGCTCATGTGCTTCTGTGCATGTGGTTGCCAATCGCAACAAGGGTTTAATGGGCTATGGTAGATGACATCCACTATTGGTTCTGCGCGTCGGAGATGGATTGTACACCACAATTGCTCACATAAACTATCCTCGCTCCGATAGGTGATGATAAGTTTGCCAGATAGGGACGATTTGATGTACAACAGAACACCACCATGAGCCTTCGCCTTTCGGTCGCATCGGAAACAAGAGAATCCTGACAACACGACTTTTTGGGGTGTGACCTCGGAGTTCAGCCAAGTCTTTGCAAGTCATAAAACGTCCGGTCGCTCCGAGACAGCGAAGCGGCACAGTTCGTCACGTTTGTTCAT